GACACGTTTAAACCACAAGTGATAGTTTTCATTCTTTCCTGTATGGTTCATTACTTTCCAAAATGGAGCTATGCTTGTTACTAGAATAATTTTTGTCCAAAAGTGGCGTGCTTAATTTCTTCAAGTAACATCAGTTTCTACACGTATGTCCAGATCTTTTGGACTGGAGGCCTATGATGATGTGGCACTGCTGTGTCCTGGGTCTTGCTTTGGGGTGGTTAAGATGGAGCAGGTTCTGGTAGCTGAGCGAGTGTTCCCACTCTGCCTCCATCCTTTGATTACTGATTTCTTTGGACTATTTTCAATATAACACCCAGATTTTCAGTGTGTGTCTGTCTGTGGCAAAATGGGCTGACCTGGGGACACCCACCGTGCTTCAGATACTGTCTTGCATAATACTTGTTGCAGAAAAATTTCCCATGTCCTTCATTCCTCCCAACAGCTTTTCAAAATAACATCTGTGCATGCAGTCACCTGTTCTAATTTGCTTCTGCTGTTGCAATTAGTTACAAGGCACAAAGTCACAATACAGACTCAGTGCAAAACAGAAATAATGGAGCCTTCTGTGGTGAATGAAAGAGCTGTGAGTTTGGTCTTTCAGACTGTGCCTCTCTTTAATGTGTTCATGCTGCCTTAGATGACACACTGTAATAAATGAGATCTATTAAAGTTGGCTGCCATGTCTCTCTGTCTTCACTTTTCTGTGGTTTTTCCAAACCTCATCTGTTTAATATTAGTTTTTACTTACTAGATATATAGCTCAGGCTGATTTTTTTTTTTGGGAGAGAGTTCAGTTATTTTCAAAAATGAGGCTAGGAAAAACACAGTTTGCCCATGGAAGCATCTTCCTTCCTCTCCCCAACACACATTCCCGTGCTTGGTGTATGGTCTTGAAACATGGTGGTGATGAGACGGCTACGAGTTTTTCTGTTAAGGACGTACCTCTGCTTTCCATGTTTAAAATCTTTTAATGTGGTCTCTCCTTGGAGGACAGAGGAAAGGTGACGATACCACCCATGTTCAGTGAAGGCTGTTTATTTTTGACAGTCAGTTATTCTGAAGGTTCGACTCCATGTTGAGCAGGAAGATGGTTCAAGAAGCACCATTTTGGGAATACTAAAAAGCATAACTAGGTCTTAGTAGGCACCTGAACTTCAAGAAGCTCTCTGATGCTGTCACCTAACAGCATTTGTGGCTCCTGTGGAAGAAGAATCCAATGTCAAGTGAACGAGAACTGGTGGGAATTGAGGAGCCTGCTGTTGGTAGGGAGGTAAGGAGCAATATGACTTCTTGTGATTCCAGGGAGAGACCAAGAGCCAGCAGGAGAAATGGGGACAAGATGAGATGAGGTCGCTAATCATGAGGAAAGAAAAGACTGCAGCACAGAACATCCATGAAGAAATGGGAACTCATAACTAATCAGAAGAAACACAGGAAGAAGAGGGGATAACTGTATCTGCAAGGAAGTGGTGTGCACCAGGAGAACAGGAACCAGCTGAATGAAGAGCAAGGGGAAGGGAAGGTGGGAGACTGAGCTTGGGTCACAGAGACCAAAGCGGATGAAGAACATGTTATGTGTGATATCCTGAGGGTGAAAAAGAGAACTCAATCAAGATAGGAACCGTGGGAGTACTGGCACTGGGTGGTAAAGAAATAAAATCTCAGAGTTATGGGGAAAATACTAAGAGTGAAGTGAAATTGAGATGAAGCCGTGTGTGCAGTATCAGAAAACAGAGCTGTCCAAAGAAGGAGGAGGTTTCACTCCTGTCATCGCGGCTCTGCCACCCCTCTGCTTTCCATCTTTGGTGCTTTTTGAGCTTTGCCACAAGCCAGCTCAGCAGCAGCGGCCTGTTGGAGCAGCTGGCAAATTGAATAATCTCACAAAGGGGTCTTGGGAGAACCAAGCACTGGAACTGGGGGTGTGTGTTAATGGAGAGAGTAGTATCACCTTCCCCATGTGGCAGTAGTGAGCTGTTAAATCTCCTGACAGATGAGAATTGTGGAAGTGAAGAGAAGCAATTGGAATTGAGGAGGCTGCTGCAGAGGAGAGGCAGGACAGATTGGGAAGAAAGGGTCACGTCTGAGAGGGAGAAGTTGGCAGAAGAATGAGTCTGTTAGAAATGTTCCTTCTCAAAATGCTGAGAGGATCCATGATTTTTTCAGTCTCACCATTTATTGCTGTCAGCAAAAATTTGCAAAAGCTGAAGAAAAGGTGCACGTTTGTATGGCAAGAATCCGTTAACATCCATTGGTAAATGTGGGAGGGGTTTTTGCAGTGGGCCTAAAAGCTCTGAACCTGCTGATAAGTCTTGATATAATTTGAGCATCATGGAATTTATCCCTTATTTAAAGGCCTAGGTAATTATGCATAAAGAAAAGTGATGCTTTCTTAAAGCTGTAAAATAAAAAATATGAAACATAAGTGCAGTCTTAATTTGTTGCATTTACAAATGTGCGCCATTATCTTTATATTTAGGCACTGTCTCTGCTTTAGCCAGAATAAAGAATGAACAGTGTTAAAAGACTTCATGAATATTTTGTTTCTTGTCATAATTCTGTCGTACTGTGGCCTATTCAAATTCTCATCTGAGTAACTGTTAATTTCCATAAGCACTCTGTGAGTGATCTCCTGTAGTGAGATACTTCATTTCATACATACATTAAATTTTCACTCTGTTCTGCATACACAGAACTGAAGGATGAGAGTGTAAGAAACAAACCAACAGCCCTCCCCAAATCCCACTTAGCTGGACACATTTGTAATTATTAACCTGGCAAAACACAATTCCATATTATGTTTTCCTGTGTTCTGCCAATCTGTAAGTATGGCCCCAGGAGCTGAGTGACGCTGCTGAAGAGTGTTGTGGAATGTATGGGCTAAGCCTGGCTTCATCCCCAGAGCTCTGCCAGGGTCCAGAGGGAGAGCACGCGCGTTGTCCTTTCCCAGAGTGGTGTTTATGTGCCTTTGCAATGGCCTTGTCCTTTCCCTGGGGGCACTTCCCCATCTTGCCCACTCCAGACATGGACTGATTCGTAGGTGTGATCCATTCTGTTAGCTTAAAAAAGTTACATGTAGTATTTCTGATTTCATTCCATGCTGTTGAAATACTGTCCAGCAGCTTTCAGTGGGGTGGTTTGTGTTCTGGTTTTTGGGGCAGGGGGGAAGGGTCGGTGGATGAAATGCAAACAGGTGCTGTGCAGGAATTTTACAGATCATTCTGCTACTCAGATGAGATGCAGTAGTATTGCTAGTTTGTGTTATTGGTGATACCGAAAATGCATATATAATTGAAAGTTCTAATCTTTTTTGATATCTGTAAGTCTGAAGCTTCAGATACATGGGAGTTTCTCCTAAAATGTCTTGTTTGAGCACACCATTTACTTGTTTAAACACAATATCAAATTAGCATAGCAGTGGAGTATTTAATATCAATTAAAAATAAAACAAAACACAAGCAGCATGACAAAAAAAGAAAACAACATGTTTTAATTCTGATTTTTTAAGGCCATGGCTACACAGCTACCTTGATCACTTTAGGTCTGCAGCGCAGGGCACCTTCCCCCAACTCTCAGCCTTCCTTGTGCTCGCCCTGACGCTTGTGTGGCTGCATAGATAGCCAGGCTGTGGAACTGACATACCCTGAAAAAAAAAAACCTTTTTTTCTTCTGTTTGTCTTCCAATAGATCAGTTTCCTTTCAGCAGTAACACAGCAGGACAGATTTAAGTTGGATTAAAGTTAATGACAGAACAATGGGAAATGGCTTTAAACTGGAAGAGGGTAGGTTTAGATTAGATATTAGGAAGAAGTTTTTCACTGTGAGGGTGGTCACACACTGGAACAGGTTGCCCAGAGAAGTTGTGGATGCCCCCTCCCTGGAAGTGTTCAAGGCCAGGCTGGATGAGGCTTTGAGCAACCTGGTCTAGTGGAAGGTGTCCCTGCTCATGGCAGGGGGGTTGGAACTAGATGATCTTTAAGGTCCCTTCCAACCCAAACCATTCTGTGAAAGTTAGCATGTAACTGTGACTTGACCTGTCATACGAGTATACCAGGGGCTGTGGGAAATCATTTTTCTTTTTCTAGGCTTTGCTCTATTTCTGTTTTCCTTTCATCCGTTGAAAGAAGGGCTCATATCTGAGGGTGGCCATTTAGTCACAAAGGGCCAAATTCAGCAAAGTGGACTCGAGGTATGATGTCCCATACAGCATTTCTGTTCTGTGGAATTTCTGAAATTTATTGGTGCTAGGAAGGGTTTTTTGCTTACGAGTTCCAGTGCTGAGAATTTATGTATTGGCTTTCTTTAGCAATTTTCATATTGGCTTTTATTTGGCCATAGCTCTCAAGCAAACAATGTACCAACGTCTGGGTGCAGATGACCTGATAAAGCCTCTGCAAATGTGTTGTTGTTGTTGTTGTTGTATACCAGAAAAACATAATCATTCTTTTTCTACCTTCTTTAATTTGCATTGGCATAATTAGAAGATGGATTTGCTTTAACTCTTTTCCCCCCCCTGCCTTATTGCAACAGGCTTGGCAAGTTCTTATTTGCATCTATACAATATGCTTGGGAAATATGGAAATGATCTTTGCCTTAAGTGCAATGCTCACAAACACTCTGAGCTTCCAGACATTTATATAAAAAATTTAAAGTTAGCTAGCTATTTTATAGTAAATATTACCAATCAGTATGCAAGCTGCCTATGAATTTTGTAAGAATTATTTCAAATGTTAAAATATTCTGATACTTTATATATAATGTTTTATATATTATGAAGTAGTAATGGCTAAAATAGCAGGTCTCTTATTATGTTAATGTGACTTAGGAGTCTGCAAACACTGAGCTTAGGACCCGATCTTATATTACTGTGTCTTGACATAAGTTGGAACATTCGTTGTAGAAGGTGTTGCTGTTTGTGTTTTCAGGATAGAGCTATAAACAATGTGTTCTGAAACCCATTGCTTAAAAATGTGTGGGGTTTCCTTTTGTTTTCCCCTGCTGCAGGTGTGATGGACAGGTAGCAGAAGATTTCACTTTGATATCAGGGAATCAGAATGACTGAGTGCTTCCTGCCTCCCACTAGCAGCCCCAGTGAACATCGTCGGGTGGAACACAGTGGGGGTCTTGCTCGTACTCCCAGCTCTGAAGAAATCAGTCCTACAAAATTCCCTGGATTGTACCGCACCGGTGAGCCTTCACCACCTCATGACAGCTTGCATGAGCCTCCAGATATAGTATCTGATGATGAAAAGGAGCATGGGAAGAAGAAAGGAAAATTTAAGAAGAAAGAAAAAAGAAGTGAGTAGGCAAATTCTCTTATTTCATGCTTATAATTCCTCTTTCTTTCTTTCTCTCTCAAAATTGCCTAGTATTCCCAGTGGTTTTTTAAAACTTGTTTAGGCACTAAGGAAAGGAAAGGCACTAAGGAAATTAACTGGTGCAAACAGGCTTTGTGCAATACCTGTTCCTGTTACAACAAACCCCACACCATAACCAAGAAATGGGTTTGGTTTTTCTTGCACAGATACAGGTGCCAAACACATGCCCAGAATTACTAATAAACGTGTTTATGTAAAACCTTTAACGATGCATTGGTAATTGCCTGGCATGGGATTCTTCTAATCTCTTTATCTGTTCACGTTCTAAGTGGAGGGTTCCAAGTGTATTTCCAAACAGATGCTTTTTGAAGTTGTAGCTGAGTTGCTAGCTTAAATAAAAGTTTAAGTTTGACCTGAAATTCATAGTTATAAATTTGGAAGAATCGGTTTCAACAACTTTAACCTTTTTCCCTTATGTCTCCCGTACTCAGGGTTTGCTGTTATTACCATCTCAAGTTTTCACGTGCATACTGCACCGTTATTTGAGGAGCAATAAAATCTCTATCCTTTTTTTCTCTAGCTTCTCAGTTTAGTCTGATCATGTAGTTTCCTCCAGCAGTGCCAAAGTATTATTGCACAGGTCAAAAATGTATAAGCCATTGTCAAGATCTGAATTTACTAGAGCTGACAGAGTAAAGGTTAGAAGTAAAGCTTTTGACTGTAGAATCCATTCTTTGTCAGTGTATCAGTGTCCAGATCAGAAGTTTTCATTTAAAAAGCATACCCCTCCTCCAAAACAGCAGAAGAGATATCTTACTTCCTGCCTTTACATTTGTGCAAAAAATTTTGGAAATATGAAATAGTTTTTATTGAATAGTTTTTCTACATATTCTGAAAGAACCAAGCACTTGAAAATACTAAGCTGATACTGAGCACTTTCGGTACCAGAAAGGTCCTTACTGTCCCAGTCCAACCTAAATATCACAGCCCAAATGCCGGTACTTTCTTAACTGACATTTGTTTTGGCAAACCTCTGATGGCTGGAAGTTCTGGATGCCAGTGTACCTTGCTACTTCTTATATGTGACATTTGGAAAATCAAAAACAATGAGGCAGCCCCAATATTCTGTTAGAATTAATATGGTGTCTATTTGTAATACGCATGCACTTATTTAAATAATTACTTGTTAAGAATTTGCTGCCACTGCACTGCTTTTAATCAAGCCAGTTTCCCCGAGTACAGGAATTCTTTCTACCACAGTTTAGAAGGTCTGTTGTTATTTTAACTGAAGATTGTGTGCCTAAAGAATACTGTAACTCAAAAATATATTATCCTCAAGTTAAAACCAACAGTTTAAATTCCTACAGGTTTTAAGAAAAGTTATTCCTTAGGGTTTTCCTCCAATGTAAACAACATTATCCTAATACAGATTATTGGATTGGTGATGAAAATTCGTTATTGATTGGCTAGTTCTAAATTCAGGCTGTTAGGAGCTGGTTTTTTACTCTTTGCAAATCAGCTTTCTGTGACAATTCTGCATTAGACACCTTTAAATTTGGAATTGCTAGGGGTCAGCATTATACATGGTGTGGGTTTCTTTGTGGTGTTATTCGGCGTATTTCATGGTGATAGTCTAACTGAAGGCTGAAGAGGAAAAATGCTTCTTCAGCAAATACATGTGCACATTAGTACTGTAATGCTTTCTTCCACAAGAGATTACAGCACATTTTATAGCTGATGTAAAGCAAATTTTGGTCCTTAAAAGCAGCTTTAAAAGTATGAAAAATCCTCAGAAACACAAAAATGCAAAACATATGAAGAATCAAATTATGTCTTGCAGCTGTAATGTAAAAAGCATTCAGCATTTCTTAACCCTAATGTAAGTATGTCATATAATTGCCTGCCAGACAGAAAAGTAAGTTACATACAAAGCTTTCAGTACATCTCATGCAGTCCAAAAATGGTCATTATCATAAATACACCCTAAACAGACATTTTACTTATGTAAGTGACAAGGCTTCTTTACAGTTATAGTTGCTTAACATGGTTGATCTATTTAAGAGCTCCCCTTACAGCTTTGCCTTTTGTTATTCCTTCCATACTTTTGATTCTTCAGTTTCTACCACCTTCTGAATTCTGTTGCATGTGTTCAGATTGTTTCTTTTTACTTTTCTGGCTGCCTTCTTTGATTTTGGGCAATACACAACCTGCTATGGACATGTAATTTGGGGTATAAACAAATATAATCAAACATTTCAATGAGAAAAAGACAAGTGTTTACATTAAATTATGACAGAGTGAGTATTTGTTGATCTTACAATATTAGTGAATTAATGACAAGGTCATCCAAACTCCTGAAACTGTGTTTAACTTTAATCCTACAAAGATTTGGGGTTATTTTGATAATACTCTAAATGTAAACTTCAGAAATGCTTGAAGAGCAGGAGAGTACGTGGAGAGGATATGTGAAGCGTAAATATCCCAAGGTTACTCAGTTTTTCAGGTAAATCCTTTTTGCAAGAGTAATGTATTATGTATATAATGTATTTCAGTATTATCACCTATATCAAAAAGCATTTCTGTGAGCTAGCAAGGGATCTTTTTTCCTGTGTGGTTATTTTTCATGTTAGTGGCCATAACCTAGTAATACACAACAATTATCCTGGGGGAAAAGTGCTAAAAATGTTGGGAGATTATAGAAAGTTAAATGGAATATTGATTTTTCTGTGAAATGTCAACTGCTGGAAGAATATTTCAGCCACCAATTTTTATTCTCCACTCCTCTGTGACAGAGTGTTGTTTAGCTGTAGAGTTAAGATTAGGAGACTTGTTAGGGATTAAAATTAATTTTCTTTTTACTGAGATGGTTTTAACTCACATCTGTTCCCTGTCTCAAAACGTCCCTTGTCCCATCCGAGGACTTGTACTGTAGCAGCAGGAGAGCAAAACCATATCTTTTTTAAGCAGTAATGGTTTACATGAGACAGTGACCAGCATAATTGATTTTTGAATGTTTAACCACCTGTCAATAATCATGTGTTGATAAAGTAATAAAATACAGTTTCTTGCAAAATAAAATGGTCAAAAGCAATACTGAAGAAGAAAAGCTATTCTGCCCATTAGAATTTCTGTAGCTAGAGAATCTGTATGTAGTAGATCTTACTCTGCTTATTCATTTTCCTTCTGAGTTTGATACCATTGGGTGAAATGCATTCAGTACATAACTAGGGTTTTTTTGTTTATAATAATTTTCATTATCTTTATATAATTCTTGGGGAAAATGGAGAATTGGTTGAATTGTAAACTAAACTGTCTTGTGAAAGGACAGCAGTATGATTGGTATGAACTCTTCTTAATTTTTCAGGAAATCTTTTTGAAGACTGAATCCCTAATATGTTGGGTAGTGGGAACAGTTCCCGTATGTTCTTTTGGGATGTAGATGAGAGCTGAAATAGGCTACTGTTAACTTGGGGACCTGCTCCACACAATCTTTGGTCCCCAATTGGATATTAACCTTTATCCTCTTCCCCCGAGTTGCTTGCCTTGTGTGGAGTTCTGGCAACCTGCAACTTTTGGCTAGGGTGCTGCCAGGTGGAAGATAGCAGCCTGTTCTCTCATCTTGAAGGGATTTTTCTCCAGATTAATTTCTGCTTAGAGATGTATCATCAATATGGATGTGTGACAACCAGGCCAAAGCTCCAATAGTATCCCCAGTAGTTCCTGGTAGAGCAATCACATGATAAGTTGTCCCTGTGCTTATGATCCTTCATTTCTGTGCAGTGTGCTAGTGGAGATGGATTCCACAGTCACAGTGCGTGCTGCGTGTCTATAGGGGCAGGTCTGCTGGAAACTGTAAGGAACCCAAGTTCATTGTGCATCCATGTCTGCCTTACTGTTTTATTTAGAAATTGTATACAAGCTGATGGCAAATCTTCTGACAAATTGAAATTAGGTGGCTAATGCTAACATTGCACATCAGTTCATATAGTCATATTTGACTTACTAATTCTTCCATATGTAAAAGTGACCCATGTTTTCTTTCAGTGAACTAATCACAGGGGCAAAAATCAGATGTAGAGGTCTAAATGACTTAAAAACTCTTCAGAGACCTGATGCACAAAATGTTTCTTGTGGTAGGTGGGTTTGATAAGTTGCAGTTCTACATAACGCAGCCCTCTGTTAACAGAAAATGCTGTAGCGTGAATTTATAGCTTCATTGTGAAAGTGCAGAAAATGAGAAGTATTCCCAAGTGGTCTCACTCCATGACAAAGCTTTTCAGCCTGTAAGTTAAATCTTTCCAGAGTAACGCTGGATTTTTATTTTCTTTTAATTTTTAAAAGGGGTTTTCATAATTTTCAGTAAGGTAAGAACTGTATTTGCAACATCACATTTAGAAGAACTGCAACAAAGGCATTCAATAATGCATGCTTGTGGAAGGTGTAACCAAGCCTGAGCAGGGAACTGGCAGGTAGTGCAGGTGTTACGCCAACAGAATTGGAGTATTTATTAAATTGGTACTGGTCTCCTAGAGGTGCAAGAAGTTGTCATTGGCAGACATTAGAGTGATGAGAAAATGCGACTGTTACTACGAGAGGTCTTGAGGAAACAGTGAACAGAAATACCAGTTTACTGATAGTAATACCTAGTGGGTAACAGTAGGTAATACTTCTTTCCACATTTAAAACTACACAATTTGCCAGGTGCTTTTGATATTTTTTTCCTGTATAAATGTAGTTTATTTGTTTTTCAATATATTATTTCACTGGTGAAAGGAATACAGTAATTTTATTACCAGAAGTATGAAAAGAAAATGGGGCTACTTAGAGAGACATACAATCTCCCTCTTGGTATGGTGGGAGATTCTCTGTCAATCTGTAATGAATAGATGTTTCTAAACTTAATTGAGTTATGTTACTGAGACAAATTAAAATGGGCTAGATTTGTATTTGACTCGCTCCTGAAGTCAAGACACAGCAGTTTCAGTATTGTGCTCTTGCTGTTGTTACATTGCCACAGATCTAGAAGTGCACTGAGGTTTGTGTGGCAACATGGAGTGTTGACACACGTAAGGCAGGTGCTCTGTTTGGTGGTGAAGGCAACCTCCAAGCTTGGTCCCCTGTGCAGAGCCAGAGGACACGCTGACACTATCCCTCGTGTGTGTGGGGGAAACCTGTGCTGTTTGACTGGGAGCTGCTACAGCCACCCAGCAGGAAAGATTGAGGGCACGTTGATTGTTCTGGACTCTGGTGAAGATTTGGCTTTCTGTTTGGAAATTACATCTGTGAACCCCATCTTGAAGCTCGGTGCCATCTCATTCTCACAAAACACAATGGTGATGTGTGCTCCTCCTTGTCCCATCGCTGGTGTATCGGCATTTCTGTGCATATCAGAGTGAGATTTGAATCCTGTGTTTATGCACTGCAGGTTTTCTTACCTGTTTCTGGTTTTAATTTGCAAAAATAACAAATGATGGTATAGCTAGTAAACTGGGAGGATGAGACCTGGTTGCAGGTTGTCCTCTGGTTAACATTTGCATTTTTCTATTAAAATTCACTTGGACAGGAACAGTGCTACAGTCTTGCTCCACCTTCGATGGAAGTGCCTGTTTGGTAGTCCTAGGGAAGCCTGCAGGATGGGAGGGGTGAGCTGGTCAAACAATTGTAATTCTTTTATGACAGTTCCATGCTTTAATACATTTCTTATATTTATTTGACTATTAAAAGCTACATTTGACAAAGCAGCCAAGGAGGCTACAAAATACAGACAGCTCCTTGGATGTGCTGAAATAACGCTGAGAAACTCTCAGATTAGTATAGTTTAGAATTGAAAGAATAAAAGACTGAATGTCCCCTGGTTCTTTTGCATGAGATCTTTCACCTGTAAAAATGCCAGCCTATAATCTCATCCATGCTGCTGAAGACCTGGACCTGCTGGAGCGTGATCAAAAATGATCAGAGGGCTGGAACACCTCTCCTATGAAGAAAGGCTGACAGAGTTGGGGTTGTTCAGCCTGGAGAAGAAAAGGCTCCAGGGAGATCTTACCGTGGCCTTTCAATACTTAAAGGGGGCCTGTAAGAAAGATGGGGACAGACTTTTTAGCAGGGCCTGTAGCAACTGGACAAGGGATAATGATTTTAAACTAAAAGGGCAGATTCAGACTAGATATGAGGAAGAAATTCTTTTACAGTGAGGGTGGTGGAATGCTGGCAGAGGTTTCCCAGAGAGGTGGTAGAAGCCCCATCCCTGGAAACATTCAAGGGCAGGTTGGACGGGGCTCTGAGCAACCTGATCTAGTAGAAGATGTCCCTGCTCGCTGCAGGGATGTTGGACTAGATGACCTTTAAAGGTCCCTTCCAACCCAAACCATTCTATGACTCTGTGCTCTCTTTTATAATCTAAGAGGGTCATTTTCCACCACTGGGAACTATTCACGCAGGAAGAGCGCTTGGCTGTTGTTGTGCTTCCTCATTCGGGCAGAGGCACTGCCTGTAGGTAGTGGAAGAGGCTTGAGGGATCTGTATAATGGGGGCTTCACACTGAAGCAAGAACTTGCTGCCCACTACCCTGGGGAGCCTGGCTGGGGCAAATGGCATGTGCAATGTCTTTGTTGACCAGGTTTCAGGCTTACTTTTCTTATATGAGGCACTGTGTTTGTAACATCACAATTAATTGACTCGGAATTTGCATTGGGTTTGGTTGTGGGTTGTTTTTTGTTGGTGTGGGTTTTTGTTCTTTTTTGTAATCCACCTTTAAAAAGCATTTCCTTGTTCTTGCCTGAAGGATGGGCAGGGCTAGCTGCAGAGGCGTCCTTGGTAAAAGAACTGGTGCATGTTTTAGACGGCACTTGGTGTTCTGCTGCTGAAACAGTGCACTCCACTCAGGGACTCGTTTGACAGTCTCACGTGTGCTGTCTAAGGCAAATATGTAACTTCCCTGACAGGTATTGTGCTGGTGTTACTGGAACTGTTCTGTTTGTCTAGTGGAAAAGTAAGTGTGCTCAGGCTTTTTTTTTTTTTTTACTTTCTTGGTATTTGATTTGAGGCTGAAACTTTATTAACTTCATACTTATCTTAAAATTCATTCTGGAAAGGGATTGGGGAGTTAAGTGGCTGAAGTTTAGTTTGTTCTTAATAGAAGTTTGTTAGACTTCTGTGTATGTAGTAGATGATCCTTAACAGCAACTCTTATACTGTTGATTACAGGAACTGTTGCCAGGCAGTTGTTTTTATTTTGCATTTCCTTGACTATTAGATGGGAAACTAGCCCATAAGATGGACATTGCCATTATGAGTAAGTATATAAAGTCTTAATTGTTTAGATCGTTCAGGAGCTGTGTGGTTTATCTTTGATGTGATTATGCAACTTTGATTTAATCCTTGTCCACTTAATTGTGCAACAAGTAAAGAAAACCTGAAGAGTCAGGCAGGTGCTGTTTTATAAATCATGTGGCTTCTTCTCTCTCCTCCTTACATATTACTTCTTGTTCTCTCCCCGTTATCGTATGCTATCTAGAAACTAAACAGACTTACAGCTGTCCTTTTGCCTTCTCCTCCTTTGCCTACTAGCGGAAGGTTATGCTGCATTTCAAGAGGACAGTTCTGGTGATGAAGCTGAAAGTCCTTCCAAGTTGAAGCGGTCCAAGGGAATACATGTCTTCAAGAAACCCAGCTTTTCCAAAAAAAAGGAAAAGGATTTTAAAATAAAAGAGAAACCCAAAGATGAAAAACACAAGGAAGAGAAACATAAAGAGAAGAAGTCAAAAGACTTAACTGCAGCAGATGTTGTAAAACAGTGGAAAGAGAAGAAGAAAAAGAAAAAGCCAATTCAGGAGACAGAGATACCTCAAGTGGATGTTCCCAGTCATAGACCCGTGTTTGGCATTCCTTTGTCTGATGCAGTAGACAGGACCATGATGTATGATGGCATCCGCCTGCCAGCAGTTTTCCGTGAATGTATAGATTACGTAGAGAAGTATGGCATGAAATGTGAAGGCATCTACAGAGTTTCAGGTACTCTGGACACACTGACATGCAGGTTCCTAAGGTCTTTACTTGCAATTTTCTTAGTATTTTACCATTTTTGACACCTAGAGACTCTGTTTATAGCTGCATTAACTTTAATTATCCAAAAGATAATCAGTTAGCTAAAGTTAAGCAAACCCATAGGTCTGAAGTATCAGAACTGTCATCGGCTGGAGGACCTCTCCTATGAGGACAGGCTGAGAGAGTTGGGGCAGTTCAGCCTGGAGAAGAGAAGGCTCCGGGGAGATCTTATAGGAGCCTTCCAGTACCTGAAGGGGCTACAGGAAAGCTGGGGAGGGACTTTTTATAAGGGCAGGTAGTGACAGAACAAGGGGAAATGGCTTTAAACTGGAAGAGGGGAGGTTTAGATTAGATATTAGGAAGAAATTCTTTACTGTGAGGGTGGTCAGACTGTGGAACAGGTTGCCCAGGGAAGCTGTGGATGCCCCCTCCCTGGAAGTGTTCATGGCCAGGTTGGATGGGGCTTTGAGCAACCTGGTCTAGTGGAAGGTGTCCCTGCTGATGGCAGGGGGATTGGAACTAGATGATCTTTAAGGTCCCTTCCAACCCAAACCATTCTCTGGTTCTATGAACTAAGTTGCTAATATGGTGGTACTGCTTAGTGGCAGTAAAAATACACTTGTTTGGCCTTTTGTGATAGGATGGTAATGATGAATAAAATGTGTTAGTATGGCCAGCTTGTATTTTTTCACTTCTGCGTTAGAAATACAATACTGGTTGATTCCAGAATCAAAGATGAGATATAACCATTTGATTACTTAAGCATCCCACTAAATTGCTTTTTCCAGTTACTTCCATTGTATGATTTTTTCCCCTAAAAACATATTTTCTTTGAGCAAATGCAGTAGTAAGCAGAAAATACAAGTTTCACTAGTTAAGCTTAGCAACAGCAGGCCCATTAACCATGGCAGTTGCGTAGTACCAGCTCACATAGATGAAACATCAGTTTTAGTCGCGTTAAGCAAAACAGTCCCTTTATTTGTGAACTGCATCTGCCACGTAACTTGTGTAAGTACTTCTGTGGGCACGTTTGAAGGAGCGAGAGAAAGTGAGAAAAGGAATTTGAGGAAAAGCCTTTGAAACAAGTTGCCTAGCACTGTAAAACAGTAATCAAACGATTTTAAAGGCTTCATTATGCTGTCTTCATGCTGCTGATCTGCGTGGTATTCGGTAGGCATGCAGAAATACCGCAGCAGCTGAAGCAGTTTCTCCATCTTCCCTGTGGGAACATTCGGGGTGTGTGTGTTTTCAAGACACGATGTGTTGGGAATTTCACGAAGGTGTTTTCTGTAAAGCAGTTTTGACGTTTGGACTCTCTAGGTGTTCCCCAGTGCAACAGCACCCTCTTGTGTGTGTAAGATTGTTTAAACTGAGAGCTTAACGACGTACCGGACATTGTCTGGGCTAAATTCCTTGGACCTGAAACTGAGCGTGTTTTCCCTGGCAGGTACCATGGGCCGAGCGCAGCCAGTGTCGCTGAGCGTGTATGAGCCGAGCCATGGCAGCGCATTAAGTTGGTGTAACTCAAGTGGGTGTTTGAGCTTTAGGAATGAAATTTCCCCGAGTTTGGGAAGATTGGAATGTCACTGAGTTATAAAAACACCTTACAGAAAATCCTGGCTGGGTTGAATAATTACATGAACACACTTTTATTCATGCAGTGCCTCAAATCAAGACTCCTGCATAAGATTCCTCTGCTGAAGAGGGCCAGCTGGAAATGTGGAACCTAAAAAGTGTGGGTTTTGTTTTGACAGAGGAAAGCTGTTATAGGTAGAACTTGTTGCACAGTATTTGAGTTGATAACGCATTTGCTACTTGGCTGAGGGCTGTATAATTGAACAGCCTGAAAGACGCTGAATGCAAATACACAATTGCTCTTACATTCTCCTACCCTTCCTCACCCTATTTCACGTTCCTTGATGCAGGAGAATGCTGGCACCAGTTCTGATTCAGAACTTCAGCAGTACTGTGGTTTTGCTTCATAGTAGTAGTAAGTGCTTTTAGAAGCAGTGATCACATAATTTTGAGTGATTATTTTTAACTTTGTTGTGTGTGAATAATCTTTAAAAGGTATCCCTCAATTAGCTTAAATTGTAAGGAGATGTGAAATAAATGCATCTCAAAAAAAAAAAAAAGTTTAAATATAACTATTATACACTTGCAGTTGAAGATTTCTCTTAATTCTTGATCTAAATATTTTAAGGAATAAAATCAAAAGTTGATGAGCTAAAAGCAGCCTATGATCGAGAAGAATCACCCAACCTGGAAGAATACGAGCCCAATACAGTAGCCAGTTTGCTGAAACAGTACCTGCGAGAACTTCCTGAAAATTTGCTTACCAAAGAGCTAATGCCCCGCTTTGAAGATGCTTGTGGAAAGAGCACGGAAGCTGAGAAAGTTCAGGAGTGCCAGAGGCTGCTGAAAGAGTTGCCAGAGTGTAACCATCTCCTAATTTCTTGGCTGATTGTGCACATGGACCATGTTATTGCAAAGGAACTGGAAACAAAAATGAACATCCAGAATATTTCCATAGTGCTCAGCCCTACTGTCCAGGTACGTGCACCACACAGCAAGTGGTAGAGCAGAACCTCAGCCCAAGGAAGATTTCTTTGTAGGAATTGCCTTGCAGGCAGGAATCGGGTATTGTCTGATACAGCTAAGCTGAAGTACAGCTTCTCTTGAGAGCCTGTAAGGGGGAAAGGGGGAACAAGACTTTCTGAATGTGATCTTGCACACTATGGGTCTGATATCCGAGTTGTTATGAGAGCATTACAAAGCCTGCTGTCAGGGTTTTAATTCTGCTGTGAACAGAGGTAATTTAATGTTGAATTTGTCCAATAATTCATGCAGATACACAGTGTCTGTGGGTTTGTGATTCAGTGATAACTCGGTGAAGACTATATCATTGCTTAATTTTAATATCGAGCCAAACAACCCTGTCATGCAAATAGACGTTCCTGGTGCAGAATGACTTGGGTATAATGGCTTTGGTGTCTGCGGTCAAATTGCTGGGGAGAAAAAAGGACTTAGTTTTCCAGTAAGATTTAGTGGTTTCTGGATTTATTAATTCCTTAATAAACATCTTGGAAATACTTAATTTAAATTTACAGCTCAGAATTAGTCTTGTTGATAATGGAAACATGGTTTTACTGGGTATGGGTCTTCTAGAGGAAAACCCACACTGTAGAAAAGCTTGGGTTTATTATTAAGGGACTAGATGCAGGCCCAGTAGCAAAAGGGCTCAGTATTATTCTCAGTTACTTTGCTGTGCCAGACACCTTCTAGCTAACAAGAGAAGTAACAGTGTAGAACAATACAGGCCCAGTCATGCTTTGTTGTTAAGTAAAATGCAGGTAGGGACAGAACTCTAATTTTTCTTTCAGGATAAATTTTTGAATTTTAATGGAAGATAGAGTATCAAAATAAACACTTGCTTCTGTCTCATGTTAAAACAAGTAATACAGTAGCAGCTCCTTTCAGACTAATTTTTCTACTATATTAAATCATCTGAGAGAGAAGTTGTAGAAAATATTTCAGAGGTTTTGGGAGGAGACAGAAGACAGCCAGTAACCAGCCACAGTGCAGTGTGGTTGGTGTTGCCTCTTACCTATTGCTGCCACTACCTACCTTTACGTGAGTAAGAAGAGATTTAATGCATTTCTGTATCTACCAGTGATGGAAATAATTGTGATAGGTCAATACGTGAAAACTGTGAGCGTAGCATGAAAATGCCTCGCATACACAGGTAAGGAGAGACAGTGAAGTGATGCCTTGAGGCCAGCACTGGGTTGTTTTTAATTCAGATTTTAATCTCTTAGGACAAACTAACATGACTGTGACTCACAGGAAGGCATACTGAAAGCTGTTCTGTTTCTGGAGAAAGATTGTATGCTTCACAGACAAAGATGATGTGAATAAATCAGCTTAACCAATATTTTGTCTGTCCTTTCTTTGCAGATCAGCAACCGTGTCCTGTATGTATTTTTTACACATGTTCAAGAGTTCTTTGGGAATGTGACGCTGAAGCAGGTGACAAAACCTCTTCGCTGGTCAAATATGGCAACGATGCCAGCACTTCCAGAAACACAAGAAAGCATCAAAGAAGAAATCAGGCGGCAGGTTGGCAGTTACTTCAGTGTTTTTCTGTTTATCTTTGCCCTGGTTTTTACACATTCAGTAATAATTCCCACAAGCTTATAACGTACTCTTTAATTCTACCACAACTGTCCTGTCAGTGGAGACTACTGGAAAGAGACTGGTGATATTCTTGCCCCTTTCATGTGTGGAAAGTTGTTACAGTCTTGTGACGATTATAGCTGTGTCTTTTGTGGATTGCATTGCTCTGTAGTTCAATATTTTTATCGTAGGAGGAGAGTTAGGAGATGTTAGAGTGTGGTTTCTTTAATGTTGCTCTTCAGCTAGTTCTAGACCACGTGCTGAATGTATGTTAACACTTGTTGTTGGTTGACCTGTCAAGCTTTGCAAACCAGAACTCCAAGCTTGTTGCCACAAAGCCAAAAAGATTTTTCTTTTCAGGCTGCCCTGCTGTGATATATTAAAGACACTCATTTCTTTGCCAATATTTCTAGGAGTTCCTACTGAACTGTTTACACAGAGACTTGCAGGCAGGGATAAAAGACTTATCCAAAGAAGAGAGACTCTGGGAGGTGCAAAGAATTTTAACAGCTCTTAAGAGGAAACTAAGAGAAGCTAAGAGACAGGTGGGTAACTTTTCTGTTTATTGGCCAGACATCTAACTCATGGATCCCTGACTTGTGACAAGGCAGAGGCACCCAGTCAGATCAAACCACATTTCAGTCTTTTTACTGCAGATTTTTTTCATCTTCACTTTACCCGGCTGAGGAGCAATTGCATTTTCAGGTTAGCTGACTATCCCTGGGGGCAGCAAGATCTCCATACTCCTTCATAGCTCTTTACCAAAAAAAAAAAGTATGATTAAAACCTCAGTGTTTGACAGAGCATGTATTCATTATATACTTAAAAGTGTGTCCAGGAGTACCAAGAGGAATTACTGGAAGACTCAAGGTTAACAAACTTCAGAAGCAGTTTTTTTAAATTGTCATCTGTGCCAGAGAAGGGAGAGACCTTGCTGAAAACTTCCAAGACAACTGAGATGGCAGTTCTGAATTTGGAAAATAATGTGTTAAAAAAAAATCATTTTTACAGTAAATACAGTGACTGTGGAAGCTGTCCTTTTAAAAATGGTTCTCTTTCTCTGGTAGGAGTGTGAAACAAAGATTGCACAAGAAATTGCTAGCCTCTCAAAGGAGGATGTCTCCAAAGAAGAAATGAATGAGAACGAAGAAGTTATAAATATTCTGCTTGCACAGGTAGGTGGCAGGCCCTCACCCGTTTGCTGCTGTTTCCTTGTTCCATAGCTTTCAGAAATATTAAACACTTTTTGGTTGCTTCTAATACAGTGGGAGACTGAAGGCTTAAAGAGATCTCTCTGTCCATTAAAATACAAGGCTTTGTTTTAATGGTACGTGAAGTAGGGAAGGAACGCTGACTGCAGGAGTGAACCCAAAGCTGAGTAGACTCTTAACAGCGGAAAGGAGACACTGTGCAACAACAACAACAAAGAGTAGCCTTTGTTGTTAATGTACTTAGAAGGCACTTCCAAATCGAACCAGTTTTAATACCGCTAACTTTTTCTGCTGATCAAAGGAAGTAAGGCAACTATTTTGGCTTTTTTTGCCTTCCTTTGCTTCCCTCAGTAGCTTTAATCTTCTCTCCACTGTCCTTTCCTCCTTAGATTAATCTTCAAAGATGTGTTTTATAATTCAGGTTTTGTAGTTATTTTACTGGTTAGCCAGAACTTTCCCCTGTGATTTGAGGGAATAGGCAGCCAAACACGACAGAATTTGGTGCGTCATCTCCACAACTGTTCAGAACAGCAATCGTCTTGAGGATTCAGAACAGACATCGTTGGTTTTGAACTTACATTTGCTTTGAGGTCTTGATGAATCAGAGTTCAAAGCAGACATGCTAAGCACTGCTACTGAAAGTATTTCAGAGAACAGCATCATCTCTTACTTACTGTATGTTCCTGTAGAAAATTAAGTCAAGGCTTTAAGAGAACTAACTGATCATTGCAGGAGAATGAGATATTAACAGAACAAGAAGAACTGGTGGCCATGGAGCAGTTTCTGCGGAGACAGATTGCCTCGGAGAAGGAAGAAATAGATCGCCTTCGAGCAGAAATAGCTGAAATACAAAGGTAAAAGGGAGACTGCTTATGTCAGAGCCCTCCCCCCCCTGCTCCGGGCGAGCACTCTTTGATTAAAAGTAGGTATATGTTCTTCTGAAATAATACTGTAAACTACACTTAAAAGCTCACCCTATGAGCATGACAGTTGAAAGCCACCTCTCTTTATTGAAATCTCAGCAACTTTGGACATTTCAGTTTATTTTCTGTTGGTGTAACTATGAAATTATCATCTAAAGGAAGTGAGACCCTCTGCATTAAAAAAAATCCCCCTAGGAAATCACTGGTTTATTAAATTAAGCTTTGAAAGGAAATGCTGATTTTGTTTTTAAAACTGTTTGAGATTACTCAGTGGATGTAGGTTAACTAACTCTTTTACACTGCCACAGTTGTGGCACGCTGGAAGTGTTTCAGTCAGTTTGTCGTTGCTCTTTCAGTCGCCAGCAGCACGGCCGAAGTGAAACCGAGGAATATTCTTCCGAGAGTGAAAGTGAGAGTGAAGATGAGGAGGAACTGCAGGTCATCCTGGAAGACTTGCAGAGGCAGAATGAGGAACTGGAGGTAAGGTTTGAGTCTAAGTATTAATGGGTACTCTTCTCCTTAGCGGTTACTTGATTTAGTCTGTGCAGAGACGTTTGCACGTGTGCAGAGTGGTGGTTGTGCATCAGTTTGGCCTGCGCGTATATAACCCACGTGCTGTTTTTAAATCACACGTTGCTGTCTGCGTTAGCAGCAAAGCTTCCCAGTGCAATGCGAAATGGCGCCCCTCGTGACAGCAGTTCTTTGGCAGAAGGACCCCTGACATTTGTTTTCCTTACTTAAAAGATAAAGAACAATCACCTGAACCAAGCGATTCACGAGGAGCGAGAGGCCATCATAGAACTGCGAGTACAGCTCCGACTGCTGCAGCGAGCTAAATCAGAGCAGCAGGTGCAGGAAGAAGAGGAGCCAGAAAAACGCGGGGGTGTTTCTCAGCAGCAAAGAGACAGTGTCCTGGAGACAAAAGCAGCCAAAGAGCAGCCAAAAGCAAGCAAGGAGCAGCAAGTCAAGCCATCGCCAAGTAAAGACAGGAAAGAAACTCCAATTTAATCCGGCTCCTTGGATATGCATAAAATCAACTGAACTGTGCAAATTACTGTAATTTGAGTCAAACTGCACAAATTATTGCTGGCTGTGTACATTCTGTAAAGAAAATTTTCTTCTAAGCCCTGGAGACTTTTGTCTCCAATACTTGTGGCTTCTACTCATCAGACTCAGGTGAGTTTGGAGAAGCCAGAAGAGTTTTCCAGTTAGTATCAGATTATTTCAAGACTGGTTTCCTTCAGGTGATTAAAATAATTCAGTAACAGTTTTATTTTAAACCAAAATCATTATTTACATTCATTGGAGCAGAATTGGAAGATCTCATTTTCAGTAAATAAAAACCCACCCACACTTACTAATTATTTGCCTTGTCAATCTATTCATCCTCATTCACCATTATTCTGCTTATTAACCTAGTCACTTCTTGCTTGTGCCTTTGATACCTTTCTGATGCAGATTATATACAAGGGAGCTTTAAATTTATTCTGGGTTGGCTGAAAAGTTGGGAGACTGCGGGGTATCGTGTTTACCTAACATGCCCTTAAGCTTCATTTTTGTTCTGAGATGTACTGAATAAATGTAAAAACTTGAGAGATGTTATTTATGTCCCTGTATGATGGGAACGTTCATCAAGAGCTGTTCATGTCGTAGCGATGGAGGTAGCCCATCTGCTCATTGATAACCCACCGTCACCACACCTGTAGAGAGACAGGCTGCGTTCACACTACTGCCATCTAGCCCAGGAGCTTTTTCTTCATCCATTTGAAATGTTTCAGTCCCTTGGAGAAAGCCACTGATGGACGCTTTCAGCAGTGATGGGGAAGGGTTATATCACCTCAGATAGATCTGCCCGACCAAGCACTATGGCATTTCCCCTCTGCAGAAATGCAGGTCACTCGTGCTTTCCAAGTAAGCCTGAAGAACGATGCCAGGGGGAGGCTCTGGGGGTTCAGCAACAGCCTCTTCTTGGGTATTTAAAAAAAAGGCAGCAAAACCAACCCCCACCACCTGGGACTTGCTTTTGGGTTGGCTGTTTTACTGCTTCTGTCCCCTGAAAGCCTCCAGCCATGCTGGCATCTGAGGGCCATTTAATGTTTCAGATACAGTCATGAGAGTCATCCATCAATTCACAGATAGACAGCAAACTCCACAGAGTGCGTAGAGGCTATCTTATTTTTTAATCTGGATATTTATTTTCGGCACCTGTTGGATGTGGTTGTATTCCTTATCTATTGCACTGTTGTGAATCATTGGCCATGATTTGATTTTTGTACAAATAATGCTTTGATATGTTATAGAAAACAGCATAGTATTTTTTTAAAATTTGGGGAAAAAAGTTTATAAACACAGAAAATGTGATCAGATTACAAATGTAAACTAAAGCATTCTCCCTTGCCTTCATTACATACATTTTATATTTGCTGGCAATATTTAAACCTTTTTTTTTCTGTTGTTTAATTCACACTAATTCCTATTGAATTGTCATGGATTTTTCTAATGTTCTTCAGACAAATCTCTTAATACTGGTTAACTTTTATTTTGTTAGGATTGTATTTATCAAGCAAATAAATTCAACAGCCATTTGAAAGTAGTTTCTAGTTTATCTACTTCATAATATATAATACCTTTTTCTAATGCAAACAGTAGTTATTTTTCTTGGGTAGCTACCTGCAGGTGAGAGGTTTATAAGAAAAATGAATTCAGGCTTCCCCAACAGCTCTCCTCAAAGAACACTGTCTGCAATTGAATGTCAGAGAAAGCTTCCATAAGTCAGCTGAAAATCATGTTTAATTTGATCAAATTAAAGATTTTAAGGCTTTGCTTCTCTATTCCTACTAGAGATTCAGCTGCAAAGGTGAAAAGCACCTTTTTTATTCACATCATTACTTTCAACACACAAACACCGTTCTTCCTCATGCAGCCTTACAATGCAGTTGAAGTATAGCCCTTGAAGTCTTAAATGGAGGTGGAATTGCTGCTCCTGCAGTAATACAGCAACTGTAACCAGAAACAGAGTTTGAAAACACTGGAAAGGTGGTTCTTTGAAATTTTCTTTCACATTCTTTCAAATGATGCATCCAACAATAAACAGTTATTGATAAAACTCTCGTAGTTAACATCGTAAGTATGAGTCAACACTGGAGAAATCAAACACAGCTGACAGCGCTGAAGCCTGACAGCACCACTGCCCAGGAGCAGCTGCCTTGCTCCAGCCCCAGCAGGGTCAGGGTAACCTCCTCAAAGGGCTTTGGCTGCCCCTGAGGGCAGCAGCAGCAGCACCACCCCAACAGCAGCGTCTGTGGTGAGAAAGCCACCCTAACAGCGGTGATTTCAGAGACAGCAGTTGCAAATGATGAGACAGAAAAGCCAAGCCTAATTTCAAATGAAGTGGAGAGTAATTGCAATACTGAGTGTGATCTGAGTGTGCTGCTCAGATCACTTTATAAACTGCTTTATCAATCCCAAGTACCTTACAATAAAATCCGAGTGCTGCCATTCTCTGGCTGTTGCCCCCCACAGCGCCAGCAATGCCTGCACCACAGGCTGCCTCTCTTAGGTCCATACGTGCCCTGAATAACCGATTCATCTCAAAGTATCATTTAAATTGACTTGAAATGAGACTTTTTCCAACAACATACGGCTTGTAGGTGCTGAGTGAAGCAGCTGAACCTCTGTGAGACCCTCTGGACAAAATACCAGCCTGCCTTATCTCTACTGAAAGGAAGAAACAACAGGCCTGCAACGTTAACTCTGGTGTTCTGGACCTACCAAAACTTCTGTGACAGTTCGATGTGGCCCATCTGCTTTCCTCTTGAAAAATTTAAGTGTTTCCACCACGGAGCATTGCTTCAGAGAAGGGAAGGGGTGATGGGACAGGGGACAGCTACATTCCTTACTTGTTTTTATAGTCCTTTACAACACAGGCCTGGAACCGATTTTGTCAGATCAGTCAGAAACACAAAGGAGCAAGAAGCACCAGATAAGCGAGTCCCTGGGACTACGACAACAACATGAATTAGGACACAAACCTGGGTCTTGCCAGCAGCACGTTACTTGCATCTGAACTGGGAACCTGACAGCTTTTATACTTACTGAAATACTGTACGCTGACCAACTTCAGACATCTTGCACATGACGCGGGGCTTTTTCCTCCCCATAAAGTCCTTTCACTCTGGTAGCAGCCTGAAGTGAACTGCTACTGCCTGAATGGCTGAAGAGGGTGGGGTTTGGTTTTTTTTTTATTATTGAAAGATAAGAAAAAAAGCAAACAAAAAAACCCCTGATGAGCACTGCTCCTCTCAGATCAAATCCCCACCACAAGTCTAAAAACACCAGCAGCTTGCAGGAGTCCAGCCGGCCTTACACGTTTCCTGGGCTCTGCGATGTCCACATTAGGTTTCCAATGCTGGCTCAGCTTCGTTCTCATGGAAGCAGAAACCATCTGTTCTGGTAAGATTCTGAAAGGTTCCCTCTCCAGTGCAGGCAGGGACATTGAAAGTACTGCTGTGTCACACAGTCCTACAGGTAACCATCGGGGTTCCAGAAATCCCTCCTCCTTTATGGTGAAGATAAAGGATTGCTGTATAGGAAGCGTCCACCTCCATTCACTCATTCCAATACTGGCACTGGGGGGATTCGTTTTCACCTTTGTGTCCTGCCAGATTAATGAGCTAAGTCCAATTTTTAAAGTCTAGGTACTGAAGCCAATAATTTTACACCTGACCATGTAAGACTGTTCCCTTTAAATTAAAAATAAAATAAAATAAAGCAGTAACCTGAATCTCTGCCAAAAAGAGGTTTGACCAAGCTTAATCTGTCAAGGTTTTCATTTTTCAGCATGCACCTCTGACTCACAGCGCTTCATCTGCAGAGGCAAAAACGCCTCTTGCAGACCATATATGGCTTGTACCCCACAGCACAGGCTCTCTATGGGGCTTGTTAAAACACACTGACAGCAGCAGCAGCACTGTGCTCCCCTACCAGAGAAAGGCTGTCAGCCCTTCCTGTCCCAGGGAGATGGGGCACAGCCTCAGGGGCACAGCCCAGGAGCAGCACAGCCGCTCCTCCCTCCTGTCCCAGAAGCAGATGCCCAAAGCGATGCCTGTCAGAACAGACCCCTGGGGCACCCTGTGCCCACAGCTCAGTGGTAGCACTTTCCCTGCTGACTCTCCTGGACACAACAGACTGCTACCAAGTTTTGTCTGGGGTTTCTTGTGTTGCTCACTGTCTTAACAACACAAGCGAGGTCTGACAAAGGATTATGTCGCACAGCATGATTTTAACCACCAACCCCACTCCCCACGCACTGGAAGAATTCCCCATGTGAGCTGCAAAACACAGGAGCTCTCGGTACAGTGAAGTTACAGCTCAGGGCAGTGAGAGCAGCCCCGGCTGCCGGCTGGCATGCCCCATGGCCTGCCCTGGCCCTACCCTCTGACAATACAAGAGCTGTAACAGTAGCTGACAACCCTTCTACAACTTCTACTAACTGTATCCAAAAAAGGGGCCTGCGGGGAATAGAGAAGGGAAGACATCAGAAGAAAGGCCAAGACCAAAGGTTGCTGCATCCTAAAACTAGTGCTGTTCCTCACGTCACTTTGACTTGTCAGCTGGATACTTCTAGATGCTCCTCCACAGCCTCCTGTCAGGGCTGCTCCATCCTCCAAAGCAGGAACCCACCAAGGCCACTGAAGAGAGACCAACCCACTCATCAGTGTGGTCCTTCCCCTTCCCAAATCCCTCTCTGGTCCAGGAGAGGAACAGCAGTGCTGCCCCCCTCACCCAAAAGCTCCCCTTTGGAGGGGGAAGGGAGCCGGCAGCACAGCCTTGCTTAACAGCTCAGCAGACGACTGGGGAAGTCAGCAGTGCAGTCGTTGTGATTGGACAGATGGGAATGTTGCACCTGAGATCTCTGCACCAAGAACGCCATTTGCCAACAAACGAGGTCCCCGGCGAGTCCTGATCAGCTCCTCTTGCTGCACCCTCCCCTACACAGAACCTCACCCCACTCTGTGAGCCACTGCCTCTGACATCACGGTGCGGGGTCTTGAGGTAGACAGGGGTAGGACATCCCTGCCGACAGTACTGCTTGTAGGGAACAACACTGTCAGGAACAAAAATCCAGAAGGTGACTGAAAAAGAAAAAAGAAAAACAAACCACAAATCCCCTCAGTCAAGAGACCAGAAGAAACAACTGTGAAATAAATGACCAACACAAGAGAAATGGCCCAGCCCCACTTGAGCCTTTGTTGTCACCTTACTCAAACCAGGTCTGTCTGGGTTCTTACTTACACAGGAAACCTGGACTGACTGAAATGTCTTTTGATGTTCAAACAGTGCACCTCTCCTCCTCTCAGTAGCCTTGCTAAAAAACATGCAGAGAAGTGTGCTCAGTACCTTCACTTTTCACAGTCACGATTCACCTGCAGGTAACCCTTCTAAACACTTCCCACACAGAAACGTTACTACACCTCTGCAGAAACGGGTCACAGTGTTTCCAGCAGACCACGATCGAAAGGCTGCAAGACATTGAAACATCTGGGTACTTGTCTCTGCTAAGTCACAGTGTATTTTAACAGGCTAGATGTAGTCCAACCTCTACAGCAACTGACCCCTAAAACATTCCCATTGCCTTGGGCTTCTTATTTGTTTTTCTGTTCTAATTAAAAAGTAAAGTAAAAGTAAAAGGCAGAGTCTGAAAGCACTGAGGGTGGGGGCAGGGAGAGAAGATCATGCACATTTTAAATGAGCTTTCCTGTCATAGTCTTGTATTTTTAAGGCAGTTTATTAGTATGTCCTAACTCTGCATATAGAGAAGAGATTAATCATTTAAATGTACTTTCCATGTTGTCTGAACGCCAGCACAGAGAGGAAGACAAGCCTTTCCCATCAGTATCAGAGAGAGGAAAACTGACATGAGAGAACAAGTGCAATCAAGTACCAGCTTTAGTCCATCTGCTTGTCTGACTCCCCATCCTACCACCACAGAGAGGTCCCCAGGATGCAATCAGGTCAGAAAACAAGAGCACTGCCCACAGGTTTCCATACCAAAGGACAAGGGAACAAAAGGAGACCTTGCTGATGGGAAGGAACCCAACCAAAGCCTAAGAGTGTGCCTGAGCCACAGGACAGACTTCACCATTGTCCCCTCTCTGCCCATCTACTACCAATTCCAATCAGCCACCCCTCAGCCCTGACCTCCCGGAGTGCAGAGAAAAGGGGGGGAGCACTAATTTAAGTGCCTACCAGCTAACTGAGGGGGCAGGGTCCACTGACTGCGCGTGGGAGGCACCGCGGCCAGGCCCACACCCGCACAGGACGGCTGCCAAGCCCACGCAAACGTTTCTTCCAGCCGGTATCTCGACCACAGGGCCAGGAATTGTGCAACAGCTCTCTGGGACATTCAAACAGCAAAAACTGATTTCCAAGCATCAGTCATGTTTTGGTTAAAAACAAACTGCCCTAACATGTTCCAGACATTTGCCAGTTTTATTGCCATGAAATCTGCATGAAAGCATGGTGAGGAAATGGTCCTGCCAAATCCTGACAGGTCTCTGGGGAGGACCACAGGGCCAGGAATTGTGCAACAGCTCTCTGGGACATTCAAACAGCAAAAACTGATTTCCAAGCATCAGTCATGTTTTGGTTAAAAACAAACTGCCCTAACATGTTCCAGACATTTGCCAGTTTTATTGCCATGAAATCTGCATGAAAGCATGGTGAGGAAATGGTCCTGCCAAATCCTGACAGGTCTCTGGGGAGGAAAAACTGAAGACAGAGAACCTGCTGTGAAAAACAGCAAGCAGGAGAAAGGGAGACAGTGCTGTAACCAGGACATGGGAAAAAGAAGGGATTTCCCATGAAGAAGCTCCAAGGTGAGGGAGCCAAGAGATGAAACAGGAAACAATGAAAATTGCTTGTGAAGGACTGATTTGGTATTCTACCAAGAAGACAGGGGTAGAGCAGCTCATTTTTTCACCACTTGGAACTGAGATGCACATTTCCCTAACTCCATATCTTTAGGGACAAGTTGAAGCTTGAACTGCTGACATCACTAACACTGCTGGCATGAGAAAATTCCCTATCAGAGTTATGCAACACAGACAACATCCCTCAGGCTGTAGATCAAATGGTCTTGGGCAGCGCTAAGAACAGAGCAAGTCTTTCTTTCCCTTTCACTTCTTGGGAATCACCTAATGAAGCAGAAAACAGGCAGACAGATCCGTGACATGTTGGGTGAATAAAGAAGTAGAAAGACAGCTATTTCTCCTCCTCCCTTAAGATGATCTGTATTTGTTACATATCAGGGGAAATCAGACACTCTGCAACTGAAAACATTGTCTTCCTTAGGAAAAGCCTCAAACTCGACCTCAAATTCACAGGCCTGCACCCATGTTGAAGAAATACAGAACACAGAAATAGAAAACATCCAGAAGATCTGTCTCAATTTTCAACTTAAAGGTGTTTTACCCTTAAATAACAAGAAAATACCTAAAGGGATCAGGTATGGTGCTTCAATTCACTGGACTAGTGGAACAGTACATTAGTACAGTAACGGAATTAGGCTGGGATGTGTTCATTCTGGGCTCCAAGCACTAGGATTTCTCTTCAATCCCGGGACTCCCCCAGTGAACACTGCACTCCATTCCGTTAGAAGATGGCCTTAAGCGTCCCCTGGTCTGAACAAAGCGCTGATCCCACTCACCTCGGAAATCGCACACACGGCCCAACTACAATTCAACCGTCATTACACTCGGCAAAAAACAGACGAAAGGATCTAGGAACCCTGAACAAAATGCAGAAATCGACTGGACTTCAAGGGACGTTTCTAAAGTGGGAATCATCTGGCCTGGGAGAGGACTAATGACTTTTAGTTGTTCCCCACACAGCAGCAGGGAGAGCTTGGAAATCCTCCAGCCTGAAGAGGTCACTGCTTTCTGACAATGTGCTGTCACCCAGATACAGTGCTGTGACACTGCTGCTCTAGGGATCTGCTCGTGATTTCTGAACAATTATCAGAGAATGTGAGGAACAGAACACCTGAGGAGACTATTACCTACACTACAGGAACTTCTGACCTGGATATACCGTTGCCTTTTCAAATTTTAAACTGTTTTTTGAAAAGGGATAAGCAAATGAAAAACAAAAAAATAAACCAACCAAAACCATCAAATCACAAAACCCAAACCAACCACGCCTAAAACAATAATCAAAATAAAACAAACCCCAAAAACCCCCAAACCCACCAAGCTTCAAGGCAGACAGAGATTACTCTGTACCTTAACCACCCTTATGGCCATGCCCAGGAGCAGAAAAGCAGGTCTTTGGGGAGTAAATAGCAACTTTCTGTTTACTAGAGAAGAAACTGCAGAATCTGTTTTCCCAAGAAAACCGGGGGGGGAGGGAAGGGAAGAGGGGGGGAAGACACCTGCCTAAGGCTGAAACGCCAGGGTATCGGGCACCTGACTAGAAATTAAAATGTTCTGCTAAAATACATCAAAGATAAGCTGCCATAGCCATTTCTACCTCCTCAAGCTTCAAACCCTTCAGTTTCAGCAGGCTGGAGGAAAGGTGATTTAAGCAAGTTGCCCCTGGAAGACATAGAAGGAGATACTGTATCAGTCATTTTAAATGAGAGGAAATGAAAGCAGTCAACAGACTGAAGGAAGGTAAAGGGTAGTCTGAGCTCACAGCTTCCTGTAAATCTGGACTGAGGGGGATATTCAGGCTCACTTCAGCAAAGATGCCATTTCACGCTGGAGTGACAGGTTCCCAAGCACAACAGGGATGCTTGAAAGAGAATTAAGCAAAACCTCAACGACACGGCCAAAGTACATCTGTGCTGTAGCATATTCCATCTCAAAATGCAAAATTCCTCACAATCATTAACCAAACTCCTTCCTCCTGCAATAGCCACCAAAGTGTAAAGAACCAGGAAAAAAAGGCCACTTAAATTTCAAACTTATTCTTTTAATGTCTTAAAAAGGTAACAAGATTGCTTTCAATCTTATTAATAAATTTTATTTGGACAAGTAGAGAACAACTTGTATCACAACAGCTTTAAACAACATGATTAAAGACTGCAGCACTCCAAGGAGGCTCACAGATATGTACAGTATATGAAGAAAAAAGTTGCACCTCAGAGCTGATCATGATCAAGTTAAAAATACCTGACTTAAAGTACATGTGCTAATAAATTTCCTTTAGGTCATGACCAGCATGAAAATAATTAGGACACAGGTACTCAGCAAAGTTTTCTGCTAATGGGTACAGCAATATGCTGCATTTAAGGATTAAAATCAAATTCTAGTTTAGTGTTAGCACTGAGCCCTTAAGAGAAATCCAAATTTCTACTTTTCCCCATTTACAAACATCAAAGCTATTCCCACTTAAGGGTGTGCCCAGCTGCACACAAATCAAGTCCTTGAATGATAAAAACTTTTAGCGCTAATACTGGAGGTCTTACATCCTGGTATAAATTTGCCTTTCTGGCCATTTCATCTATCAGTTGCTACAGAAAATACTTCCTAAGTTCACTCCTCAGGAGAAACAATGCAGGTCTCTGGAAATCACATCCTTTCTACAATGAAAATGATCTGCCAATTCAAGTTTCATTTGTTCAGGAAGACAGAAGATGTAAGGCTTCGGTGGCAAAAATAATCCTCTGAGCAGTGTTTTTCTAAAGTCAAGCTGACACAGGTTTGTTTACTTTTTCTTGACTTAAAATCCCTGGTATCAGGTTTAGATAACATCCACCTGTTAAGTCTGGCAAGAAATCTCTCCTTCCAAAGAGGTTGTCCTAGATCAACCATTTTAGAAGCATTTGAGGACAGTTCGTTTAAAATTTTTTTTAATTATAGCAACATTCAGAACTTTTTAATAAGTTGATGAAGCAGTGCTCATGGCATCATCTGCAATTTTGGTACTGGCAGGATGTATGCTTGCAAAATATTTGACATCACTGTCATCGTCCATTTGAAGCGCCATAATTGTTTGCTCCACAGCTTCTTGATGAGAGTTGGCAGAATTTAGAAAATATTCTGTAAAAGAAAACGCACAAGACTTATAGGAGGAAAAGACAGCAGATACTTCAACACAAACCTCAGCATACTCTCATGAGGTTCAAAATCTCAGGAGACAGTGCACATGTATACTCAAACTGGAATATCTGAGCAGTGACACACTACACTTCTGAATAAACCCATGAAATCACCTTAAAAAAATCATTCTATGTTTCAGAGCAGAGTTGGTCTAACGGTGCTGTTAGAGCACAGAATTTCCATGGTCCTTCAGTATAAATACAAGTGTGACAGCCTCCATTACCAAAGAGGAAGAAAAAAAAAATCTGTAAGAGACTCAGAAGGAATGTGCTTATATTTGTGATGGAGGGAAGGTATCACAAAGCCATGACCATGCCACTCCATTTCACTGGCAGGTTTGCCAAATAATTATCAAACAATAAAACTAAGATAACATGAAATAAGAGGGGAAGAAGTTCCAACATCTGACAGTTTTCATGAACTACACAACACAAGTCGCATAAAAGCAAAATAACTACAAACAGCTCACAGGAAGGGCAATTTAGATTTCAGATTTTAAAACTTCTAAACTTATTTTTTAAAATCTGCCTTTCATAATCTATCCACCATCCCTAAACATACAGACAACCTCTGTGAGGCAGGGACTACCTGTATTATAAGCTTACATGGTAGCCATACGGAATGGAGGTGTACCATCCAGGTGGGGAACACAAAAATAATGAGGACAACAACAAAAACACCAATATGACATGATAACGGGAAGAACAGTGACAGCCTTGGCACAGTTAACAGAGGATAAATTACTGCACATCAGCTGATCCATCTTAACTGTCTACATGTACTTACTCAGAGTCTCCACCCAGCATGCACAAGACAGCTAGTAATAGCCTAGTGCTTACTGTGTTGGCATCCTTTGTGTTGCCTCATGTTCTGAACATTTTGCATTTTTCTTCACACTTTCTATGCTAGAAACAGCAGTCCTCAAGCCAGTGTATGGTTTTGAGGAAGAAAGTGATTAGAACTGGACAAAGTATTCCAAGTGTGGACACTCTGCTGGTTTACAAAATAGCATAACATTTCTAATGCTATTTTCCTTTACAGTGCTTTGGAATCTGAGCACTGCTGGCTCTTCCGACACCTGCTATGCACTAGGGATGCTTTCCTAAGCAAAGTCTGCAATTTGAAAGCTGCACATCTAATTTCCCCGAAGAGACTCCAAAGAAACTTTCTTCCCACTGCTACCATAAAATATAAAAACCAAAAAGCAGCCATCTCTTCTCCCCCAGTGAGAAAACAGATGGTGGATTTATATGGAAGGATTTTTCTTTTTGATCCTTATTACACAGAACAGATTTTTTTTTTTTACCAGATAAAAGGCACTGCTCAACAACTTCACAGTTGCTAGTTGTTCATTTGTGCTTTCTGTGCCCTGATGGCACTCCATGAACTAGCTCATTTGGGGAAAATGGTACATAAACCAGGCTGGTATATAAGAAAGAACTCTTATTTATCCAGCCTTACACAACAGTGACCCTGATACCACAAGATTCAAGGTTTTACCTCAGCCAAGGTAACATTCTACACCAAAGAGACTGTAAAAGCAAGAGCAAGCTACATCTGATGATTTTTCTTTCCCAGCTTACTATAGGAGATGGAGGGACAAAAGGATATGCAGTCAGCCCACTGCAACTCTTTCTGACCACTAACCTTTCTCTAAAAGAGTTTGCTTTAACGTTTTTGCAAGCAGGACTCGAACATTTGGAACCCTGTCAGATGCCAAGTGTAGCAAGTGTGGCAACAGATGCACAGCAAACTGGTCCATGGGCAGGCAGTCGTCTTCACTGATAGTCTGGCAAGAATACAGAAGCAATTTTATTAGATTTCAGCACAGTGAAGATAAAATCCCAACACATAATCAGAGCTGACAATTGTGCTATTACCTTCATAGCACAAATATGATAAGTAGTATCCACAAAGTCTTAAAATACAGTACAATACTTCCTAGCACAAGGATGCGCACAATGAAACAAGTCAGGGTTGAGGAAATTCAGGCTCAGTTAGAAACCCACTTTATTTTGTATGAAGTCTGGCAACTTCCTTATTTTTATTGTTGTTTTGTTGTTTGGGTTTTTTTTTTTTAAATCACCGTATCATTTGAAAACCGGGAAGAAAAGTAAAAGACCTTCCCAATCCTTTTTAAGATTGGTTTGGTCTTTGTTTTAACTAGGTACTATATTAAAACAAGAATGGTCCATCTCAATAAACATCCATTGTACCGAAACATGTTTCTCTAAATAAGCTCAAAGCTCACGTTTCTCCAAATACTTCAAAGAACTGTCCCAGTTGGGCAGCAGTCATTTTAGCTTCCAGTCTGCACCTCTGCTACAGCCTCCAAATGTGACCATTTCCTTAGGACCCCAGCTAGTTGCAACTCTTCTGCTTAATTTGCTCAGAATATGTTGGTTTTGACCAAGCTACACTAGCTGGCTAAGGAGGTATAGGCAACTCCTAGCACTTGATTTCTAAAGAGTAACCCAAAAAAGTGTTAGACTGCTGCAGCATATTATAAAAATCTCACTTCATTCTGAGTAACAAAGCACCTTCCCATGTCAGGGATTATTTTTCTATGCTTTTATTTTACACACAACATCAGATCTGACAGCCTGACGTTAATAAGCTAAGCTAAAGATGCATGCAAGCTCATCTATGAATGGAGCAACACTGAAGAAGGCAGCCAAGAGACCTATTCCCTTGGAAACAAAGTTATCAAATATTCATGAAAATAGTGTCAATAGAAGCTCAAGAGTTCCAGTTGCTATCCTCCCCCCCTTAATTCTTACCACCACCATCCCCTGCAAAACTAAAAAAGATGAACAAAAAGACATTTCACCTGGCAAATAAAGACAAAAGTTTGCCGACCAGACCATTTGCGGCATCTACAGAACTTTTCAACAAGTTCATTCATGAGGTCTACCACGAAGGTTGATGTTGAAGCCATGTACAGCTTTTTTACCATTTCACTAACCTTGAGGAAATGAGAAGACAAAAAAATAAATACAAAAGTTACTTCTGACCACCAACCCACAGAAGTTTGAAATCCTGAATTTACTGAGATTGCTTTACCAGCTTGTAAGAAATCCAACGGACAGACGACACTTTGTCTGCACAGAGGCTGAAAGCAATAGGTCGCAAGTAGTCATAAATGTCTCTGGCACTATACAGATCCAGAAGCAAGATCAGTTGCCTACAAGATGGAAGATGAACCAGAGTACATAATAAGAAGAAAGGTAGTAGCTTTAACTATAAACATTACTATTTATATTACAACACTTGTCAAATATGCAATGTGGACATAATAAAGTTACTGAAAAGTAAAATAATCTATTTTTTCAATGCCATCAGTTTGATATGGGTCACTTGGGAATTTTAAATTGCCACTTATTCACAATAATGGCAAAATGCTGCATGAGCTCAAAGAATGAAGAACTAGGGGATAGGCAAGGGAACCAAGCTTGCATGTACAAGGCAGGGATCCTGCTAATGGCCACAATGTCCATCCAGCACAGTGATCCACCTGTGAATGACACAGCAGTGTGCACGTACACTTGAATACCTGGTAAAGACATCTCACACATATAACACATGTACAGCTACAAAGCAATTACTCTGACATAGTTTGGTAAGTCTTCTCAATCACTTAAGTACACGGATTTATCAAATCAATAAACATCCTCTACTTCAGAGCATACTACTGGACAACTAAAGAAATTAGCAGTTGTCTTCAATTCATGTGTTGATTAAGATTTCAGCAGTTCAGTTGCCGACACTAGCACGTGTCACAAATGGCAGAAAGTGTGTCGAAAGACGTGGCATGTTACAAGCAGCTGATTGAACATCTCCATACCAGCAGTAACAGTAAATGATTTGCAGGTATTAAATCAAAACAACACTTAAACGTAGCAAAAAACTATCATAATGTCACGACCAGTTGTTAAACTAGGTCTCTCAAAATTTAATTCAAAAGATACACCGTAATTAGTTATTACTATATGCTCATTTCATCATGTCTGCTAGAGAAGCCCTGGTTGCACAGTCTTTCCTCACGGGGTAGTGCTGCAGCCTTGATCATCCGGGTGGCCCTCTGCTGAACTTGTTCCAGTTTATCAGCATCTTTCCTGTATTGGTACAGATGCATTAGTCCAGGATTGTGCTGTCAGAACATAATGCTGGCTCTTGTTCAGCTCACTCTCCTCCATGATACTCTGGGCCTCTCCAGCAGAGCTGTTCCCAGGGCAGCCAGTCCTCAGTTGGTCTCACTGTCAGAGGCTTTTCCTTCCCACGCACAGGACTTGGCATCTCTCCCTTGCTGAATTTCGTAAGCCTTTTCCGCTAGCTTTCCTGAGCAACTTGACCCTTCAGAGACGCCTCCCACAGCAGCCCACCTACCAGTTCCATGAAAAAGCCAAAGTCTGCCCAGATGAAGTCCAAGGTCACTACTTTGCTACTTATTTTCTTTACTCCCCTCAGGATCTTAATCTCCTCTGTTTCATGGTCATGAATTCAGTCTACCCATCAAATACAGCAACTTGAAGTCAAACTGCTAGAACACTTGTATTGACTTCAAGAGCAACCAGATATGGTCTTCTCTTTTGGCAGCTTCTTTTTTATAGGAGGGTAATGTTTTCAACATATGGTGATGGAAAAAGACATTCAAATTCTGTCCTGGTTTTTAGCTGGAACAGAGCTGGGTTTCTTTTCAGTAGCTAGAATAGTGCTGTGTTTTGCTTTCAGCCTGGGATTTGTTATGAGGGAAACACTGATAACACACCAGTGTTTGCATTTTTGTCGCTGGAAGTGAAGGACTTCAAGTTCTGTTAGTCCACAAGCACAAGATCGAAGGGGGCAAGGAATATTTAAATTAATAAGCTAAACTGGCCTTTGGATATGCCAGTGGGGTATTCCATATCATATCACATCATGTCCAGTATATTAGTGAGGGTCTCTTCCTCTTTTCTCTCTCTCAGGCTCTCGCTCTTCCAGGATTGCGGTTTCGGTTTGGGATTGTCTCTCCTTCGGGATCGTTATCTGGGAACGGGCCGGGCTTGGTTGGCAGGTGGTGAGCAGTTGCACTGTGTATCACTTATTTGCATATTTTGTTACTGTTGTTATTAGCACTACTATTTTAATATTAGTATTATTTTAAGTTTTCTTTTATTTCTGTTATTAAATTGTTCTTATCTCAACCTATGAAAGTGTCCTTACCCTTGCCCCCCAGTCCTCTCCCCTGTCCACTGGGGGTGGGGAAGAAGTGGGTGAACGGCTGTGTTGGCTGTTTGGCAAGAGCTGGCCCAGTGAAACTATCACAAGTTCCAACTCAGAATTCTAAGTGATAAACAACTACTGGGAATTTTTAAGCAAGAGTGACTAGTGCAAGATGATAAGGACTATGCACTAATTAAAAATTAAATGAAGAATGAAACTGTAAAACATCCATTCTACAATTTTAGCCTTATAAAATATCCTCAACAATAAAAACAAGCATCCAGAAAATGACATACTCAGCCAGCTCAGCACGGAAACGCCAGTTCCTGCTGTTATCGGTCACTAGGAATTCCTGAAGCTGATAAAGATACTCTCGTCTTTTGTCAAGATGGAGAAGCTGTAACAGCAAATATAAACTTACATAAAGAAATGTAGGCTACAATCAGCAGATAGAACAAGAGCTCTAAAATACAATTAATAAAACACTTGTTTTTATTTAGAAAAAAAAAACAACCCTCTTTAGCAATAGTGTTGCTTTCTTGGGCTAAACCCGGTCATGCTTAAATCCGTAAAATCACACGGGGCATTACTAAAAACAAAATCTGATCTAGTCTAATCTGATCTGTCTACTTTTACTCTAGGAAACAAGAGAGGTAAACCATAAGTAAGTAAAAAGTATTTATTTTAGAAGTTTTATGATTTGTGTCTTTCAGCTCCAAAAATGAGGCAGTGTCAAAGAAAAACCCCTAAAGAAATTTGAGAAGTAAGCTGTGTATAGATGCTAGAGCCATCAAAAAACTTAACACCATCCACTGGCACCTACATAGTGAATAAACATGCACAACCAACCAGGCTCTTCAGAGAAAAGAAAGTATCAGCAACACAGATCTCTCCTGCAAAATATACTCTGGTATTCAACAGACATCTGTATGGATTCCCACAAAGAATGATACCAGTGTCATGTTAAAAGGCAAGTGCATACAAAGAAATGAAGCAAAATACCTAATGGCACTTGGCCAGAGTTGAACACCAACATACCTTCAGAAAGTCATGCAAGTGTTTAAGCACACCTATCCTGACTTCATCTAGATCTTTTAAAAAGCCATTGAAGACAGGAACTAAATCTCCAGCTGTAAGCTGGTCTCCAAGGATGACGGCAAGTTCATGTATGGAAAACGCTAGTGTCCGCCGAACCTTCCACTGCGAAATGAACAAGTAAATAAATCTGATTGATGCATCATCTGAAGCGCTCTATTTTAACTTGAGGGTCAGTATCCAAGCTGGACTCCCAGCAGGCTACAGTACTTACAAATACATGCAACAGTGTCTCATGTAACAATTGAAGATGAAATTGGAAATTTTAAAAAAAGAAAAGGAAGGAGAAAGCAAATGATGCAGTATCACTTCTTCCGCCTGCACATCAAGGAACTAGGCAAAGAGAAGTAATGAAAATATTTTACTTTTCCAGGTGTCAGAAAGGAAATTAGTATTCCTGACATCAGTACTCTTCCACACGTTACCCTTTGATTTAAATTCTTTCAGGTAAATTAGTTCCATACCACTACTCTCTCACTCATTTTATTTATCAAACAGAGTAAGAATATATATCCTACAATATTTCAGCTGGCACATTTTAGCTTCCATAATAGGTAAAGTTTCACCCACACCGAGTGCCCAGCAGTCCAGTGACCAGTAGAGCTTTTACTCACCCTAGATTGAGCAGGCACTGCTTCAATGGAGTTACTATTTCAAATAAGTCTTTTTAAAAATCAAATAGCATCTATTCTTTAGCCAGCACTTTGCAATTAGCACTGTTTTTAGGGTACTGTTCTTTTGCCCTAGTTTGGTGATTCAATCTTAATTCAGTCTAGACTGGTGATAAACTCTGGACAGTTTTGAATACAGGGTAATTTGTTTTTACCTATTTTTTAGCTGGTTGTTTTTAATGGCTGCAAAAGACTTTGGAAAATATGAGCAATACCCATATATAAAATCACTCACTACACTGAGAACTGCTGCTCTGACATAGCAAGCAGCAAGTTCAAGAGAGGTGAAACAGTCTGAGAATGTTTGGGGAAAAAAAAAAAAAAAAAAAAAAAAAAAAAAAACCCCCCAAAAAAAAAAAAAAAAAAAAAAAAAAAGAGCATCTCCAAAAAAGGAAACAGAGGACTGGGAAACAACTGGAAATCAACAGTAAGGTGCACAAAGCTACCTCCTTACCACCTGACAACAAGGAAAATGCTGCTATTTCCAGTATTTATTTTTAAAACAGCAGTGCTGCATGGTGATAGTGATGTTATTCCCTTATGACTGACTGGATGCAGCACCAAAAGGCCACCAAAATGCCTGGTGTGAGGATGACTCACTGAGCTCCAGACATGCCTGCAGGGCATATGTCTGCTCATGCCCAGCAGCACAGAACAAATCTCATACCCATGAGAATCCCAAGCACTGCCATAAGATCTCAAGTGAGCAGAGGAAATCTGAGACCTCTCCTCACATTCCCACTGGAGATCCACCTCCCACTCAAACTGCCCCATTTCCTCACTACCTGAGCACCACACACACCCAGCTCCTTCTGAGACAACAGTTAAACTTGCAACCATTATACAAATAACTAATATCAGTGATGGAGAGCTCCACGTAACAAGCTGAGCAACTCAACACCCAGTAAACGAGACCCCATCATAAGCTGATCATTCATTGTCACATCATGAAAGTTCAGATCAGTCACTGTCAAAGCTTCTTGAGCTTACCTGCATGTCAGATGCCAGCGTCTCATAGGTATCTTTCAAACAGTGCCAATTCTGTCTGCCTAGCGTAAGTGCCACACCAGGCAGGCTGTAGGCACAGTGCTTGGCAATCTCTGTATCAACTGTTTGTGCACGAGATGGATCGGTCATTGATAAATACTGATCCAGCAAGGCTTGAGGTACAACATCCTACAACAAGAAAAGGGTAGAGTGTTTACATGATTTTCAATAAATTCTCATAAGGCTTACTGAAATTCCAGGGCACACTGTCAGAACAACATTTTTTCCCCCACAACTATAGAGTATTATATTTAATTACTTAATTAAGGTTTTGTATTTCGTAAGTTCCACCAAAAGTTCCACAGAAACAATGACATGACTGGGGGCTATCTGAAAATATACAGACCAACGTTAGCAGCTGAGTGGGTGGATCACCATCTACTTAGGCAGACCAGGAAATTAAGAGACTACATTCTACCTTTCTACAAACATTCAGGCTTGAAGGCTGTGAAAATTGGCCATTTTAACTCATCCATAAAAACAGGCAGAATAGCAAATGATAACACTCGCTCAAAAATAATTTCCCTATTTCTCTCAAAGTCTTGGGGAGGTAAGGAGAAGAAAACTAAATTAAAATGCCTCAAGGAGGGGGGAAAGGAGAGAGGGGAGGGTATAATGTGTTCAATATTGCTTCCAAACTCCCTGAATAGACAGCAGAAAGGAAAAGGCTTCTCCAGAGACAGAGAGATCTCAAGTGAACAAACAATGCTTCTCTCCCCTGAGAAACTAAAGCATCTAAACTAAAATTATTTGAAAACCTCTTTGCGTTGACTTAAACACTGTCTTTGCTTCAGCTGTTGTCAGTTTATCTCAGGCACTGACTCTGCCCAAGGCAGTGCCCAAGAGCATTTCCCTAACACAGCTGCTCAATAGCTCATCTCATGTAAGCAACGAGGGACTGGGGTTCCCACTGAAGGACTCACACTGGTGCAGTGGGGCATACTGAATACTGAACTCTGTAACAACAAACATTTAATTCCTTTTGGGAAGAAAATAACAAAGAGATAGTTCAGCTCAATGAAACACTTTCACAACTTTTCTGCAAAAACCTATCATGGCATGGGGGCAGTTCCACTCAAAACATTTAACAAAAAATCCTGTTTGCTCAATAAACTAATTACCATTACAGGATAGTTTCTGTAGAAAATGAAAACAAATGAAACCAGAGCCTCAAAGTCTACGACAACCATTACCTCATGTCAAAAAATTCTGTAATCTCTTATACATAATTAAAACAGAAGCAACTGCTGAATGAAGCCATTATCTCTGGAAATATGGAGTGTTTTAAAACTATTTATTTAAGAGTTTTCCCATATTTAATAGAAAGTACCTTATATCAGAAATGTCTGAATGAAACACAAAAGAAATCCTCATATACATAAAAAAAAAAATCTACTTATCCAATACATGTAGGAAAAACTGAAGTCACTTTTACCTGTACTTTGGATTTTCTTTCTTCTTCAGGGCTGAAACTACTGTTGGTGCTCAAATCTGAATCATTATGAATATAGTGAAGTGTAGAATCCATATTCTATGAAAAAAGAAAAAGAAAAATCACATAAAATACACTCAAGAATTAAACACAAAACAAATGTCAACATCAACAAGTGCTGTCCTCACCTCAGGAATACATGCTTTAATATCAAATACAATTTTGCTACAACCTGAAGTCGAAAGGTCTGTAAGATAAATCTTTCTGCTTTCAATTTCAAACACAGGCTCCTCTTATTCCACTGCATTTTTGGTTCTTATGGAATAAAAATCACAGGAGAGGAGTACCTCTGAGACTGCACTAAGGAAAATGCAAGTAACATATGGATTAGTTACATTTCAAGGGAAAATGAGAACATGTGTAGCGGATTTTGTTGGATTTGTTGCTTTGGATTTGTGCTAAAAAAAGGTCAAAACAAAGTCACCCTCACACTTAGGAGTAGAAACTGATGAGACTGACACTGTTGCTCCTTTCCTAGAGATTAGTATTCTATAATCTTCTCTACAGATGAGCTTCACCTTATAATACAGAGTCCTAATGGACCATAGGCTGCTGACACTAGTAAGTGTAATTAACTGTTCTCAGCAGTTCTATTTACATAAATTTTAGCAATCATTCAAGCATGTTGGCTACATATCTGGGCCTTGAAGATACGGACTGAGCAGCAGAGGTTTGATATGCTATGATAAACTGTTCTGCTGAGGGGATGCACTACCACATTCGATACCAGCAGAGTTCCCCAAACGCAATGAACTTTGCATAATCAGCTGTGCATTTCAAGCAGTACGTGATGAATATCTGAGAAGTCAATCAGGCTGCTGTGTGGTAGAACAGGACAAAGGCATTTTTGATAGATAGGAGCCAAGGTATCTATTCACAGACGCTGCAGGGTAAGCTCTCAGGGTCAACACAAGCACCAAGAACATGCCTACTCTACCAGCTGTTCAGATCAGTTTGACAATTAGAATTGCAAGCAAACTAAGCTTCTTCAAAAAAGCCTCTAGGATACCACCTGTCTTCCTTGGTGTGACTTCAGACAGTTACTTTTTTCCTCTTCCATGATCTCCTCTCATCTAAGTATTGGGCTGTAATTTTAGTCGCTGAGGTATAATTACAGGTGATGAAGAACAGGCAGAGCTGTGAGGCAATTGCATATCACTGGCACAGCAGCCCAAGTCACTTGTCAGGCTTATCAGGCAGCAGTAAGAAGGCGGCAAAGAGCCGAGGAAAGAACAGATCTGCAAGTGACTCTGTAACTCCAGCAGCATACAACTCCAACTACAAAACCTCCAGAGGCTCTGAAAACCATCTCTGCAGGATTTGAGCTTGTCAGTCAATTCTTTGCTCCTGTTTAGCCCTTTTTTTTTTTTTCCCCAGAAAGAGAACATGTTCAGCACTGCCAGAGTCACCAGCTTCACCCTCCTTCAAATCAAGAAATTATGAGGCAGCCAGTACAACCCAGACACAGTGCTTTCCATGAGTTGCCAAGGTACATGGGACTAGAGACTATTCATCCAGTCTGATACAATAAAAATGAAAAGACTCCATCTCACATTCTCTGCTACCTCATCTCTAAAAGGCTAAGTTAATAATAATAATAATAATAATAATA